CTCTCTCTCTCTCTCTCTCTCTCTCTCTCTCTCTCTCTCTCTCTCTCTCTCTCTCTCTCTCTCTCTCTCTCTCTCTCTCTCTCTCTTCTGCGACTACTGCACACAGGTCCTGCAGTCTCTCTCTGAATGTCTTCACTGCTCTCCCTCTAAGTAATGGACCAACAAGTCCAGTAAAGGTTGATGGAGACCCCGCAGAAGCATGGATACCTAAACGGAAGTAATTGCAAACAAATCGAGAATAGCCCAAACAGATTCAAAATACGAAAAGCAATACATAAAAAAAGTCCGTGACTGCACTGCTCTACTTATCTTACCGCAATGACTGGGTCCTTTTTGGGGTTGACATCACGTAAAAACAAGCTGAGCCAGTTCAGAAAGGCTGAAGCTGAAGGCTTTTTCCCTCGATAGCAGATCGGATGCACATCAAGCAAAAAGACCCTCCAAACGGAGCTCTTTCTCATGTTAGTCCTTCCTTTGGCGATGGACCCTGCCTTCTGCGTCGGAGCTTCTGCTGCCTCATGTCCATTTCTTCCGTCAATGTCATTCATTCCACCACCACCATCGGCATTCCCTTTGTCCGCCACATTTGCTAGACATGTTTGTGCGCCTGCGCCAATTTCGTCAGCATCCTTTTTCACATGTACATCAAGCAAACTGCCAGGACCCTCCTGGCAGTCGATCGCCGCTTCCAAATCCTTTGCCCTGTCGCATTCACTTTGCACATCGACAGTCGATATCCCTTTGGCCTTCCCATCTTCTGTGCTGCCAGATACCACTGTGCTTGACGACGTTAACATCACTGACTCCATGTTTTCCACAAGGTCGGGTCCACTATCTCCTCCCATATTCTCCTCCTCCTCCTCCTCCTCCTCCTCCTTCCCCTCTGCCTCCATCTGTTGGACCTCCTCTTCCACCTTCCGAATGAAGTCTCCAAGCACGGTGCCCTTCACAACAATCCCCTTAGCGCGTGTGTGGGCATACTTTCCAGGCACAGGTGTTTCCTTCATCTCTTTTGCCTCGGCACCATCTTCATTCCCCAACGTAGAAACCCGCTTCAGTCTCTTCAGTGCCTTTTTGGCAGCCCTGATTTCCTGTGGACGCCTTTCCAACCCCCCGACAACGATTTTCTTCTTATTTGCAATAAAACTTGAAAACATCCGCTCATCATTTGGCATCAGCTCATTCCTGAAGACCTTGCCACTGTTCTTACCATTCATTTTCTCCCGTGCACTATCAGCCACCCCATCCTTTCCATCTCTCATCCCATTCCCCACCTTGTCAGCACTTCTGTTAGTATACTGCTTGGTCACCTGATCAGCAGCCTTGTTGACTGGCATTCGGTCTTCTACTCCACCCCTTCTTGGGTCCTTCTTGGCCATATTATCAACTGCAGTGCTACTTGTCCATAAGGATTCCGGGCCCTTCGGCACAGCAATCTGACCGAGCAGGTTCTCCGGTAACCGATAACTCCGTGTCTCAGCTCGACCAGATGATCGCAGGCTTGCCGACTTCCTGCCTGTACTTGTTAGACCTATGTTTTTTGTGTCCGCTCCGCGATTCCAATCCCTGCCTGTAGTGCGAGCGAGATGCTCTTCTGCTTTCTTCGGTCTGGGGACCTTGCTCGGCTTCCCTGCAGATCCCTTTCCTGTCTTCGGGGCAGATGCAGGAGCTGTCCCCATCTGCCTTGCTTGAGTGGCTGAGGGAGTACCACCCACTTCTCCTTTTGGATCCCAGCATTCTCGGCTTACGACCCTTTTTCCATGTATTACAAGCTGTGGCGCTGGCTCCGATTTCGATCTCTTTGCCAAGGACTTTCGCTGAGGTTTTCTTCGACTTCTACTTGAAGGATTGGGGTCCTGAAAGTTTTTTTTTTTTGGCTCTGCCTCAACACCCACTTGATTTCCAGCTTCCGCTTTGGCCCTTGCCAAGACAAGCATCCGCGTAAGTTGTTTTTCCATCGCTGCTTCCACCCAGTTAATCTCCGTCCATGGAGAAGTGTGCAGTCTGCATCTGCATGGAAAACATGCCCGCGGCCGTCTGGAATCTTCTGTTTTCACCAAACCTTGGCTTAGAACGCGCTGCCAACCAGAGTTACGAGTTCGGTGTACGCACATTGCCACACACACATTCTGCGTGCGGTTCGCGCGTGTCTTCCAATTTCGATTCCACCCTCCGTTGTCATCAGACCTTTCCTCTGAAAGCAGTGGATGCATACAAGGCCATCGCCAACCCAAATTATGAGATGCTCGCGTAGCCCTCCCTCCTCTAGCACTCACTTCCAGCTTGGATGCGCATCCATATCTCAAGCTAGTTAGCCTGCCGAAGGAAGAACGATCCTCAAGTGCAAAAGCAGATGCCACACACCGGCTTGAGACATAGCCTCTTCGAAAGCACCAAGGCAAAGGGTATTTGCGTGCTACAGAATCTGTCGGCCATCCGGAAGGCTGCCCCAAGGGCGGTGATGCAAGATCGGCACCTGGAGGAAAACTCGACAATGTTCTCCCAGAAACATCATGAAACCACCGATTCACAACTAACCCTTCAGCGGCAGACTTGAAAGACAACGCCATGGCCCGTAGATCTACACACCTCTCAGGAGCAAAAGAGCCCTGAGAAGGAGCACTGAGACTGTGTGCTCAGCTGGGAGACAGGTCAACACCTGAGGAGGCAACTCAGACACGTCAAAAACACATTCCATTAGATTTGAGATGCATTTTTGTTGCAATCCTCAGCCTTGTGATAAGCCCCGGACACCAAGCTCAGGTATGGGACCCATTTATTCGTGTTCGAAAAGATAAACATGTACAACACACAAGCGAAGGGAAGGAAAGGATACCTTACTAACATTTAATGGGGCTTGTGGGTGTGGGTGTGGGTGGATGAGTGTGTATGTGGGTGTGCTCAAGGGAAGGGGGCTCAGAGAAGGGGTGGGTGACTAGGGTCCCAAGGGAAGGTGGGTGGTAAAAATGCACAGGTAAGCCATGATTAAAATTGACTATTGGATAATAATAACTGAGTTCAGAACCAAACAGACAATGCACACTGACCTTAAGCCAGCACCCTTGCAGACAGATCCACAGTCCCCGCACCGGTACACAAAGGGGCAGCAGAGAGGATCCACATACCAGCCCACCTAAGCCCACTGCCCCCAACAAGGCCAACAACACACCCACCCAGCGCATCAGGGTTGGGCATGGAACAAGCTTCAGCAGCGGGAAACCAACAAACGATTTGGGGGCACTCCCAGTAATTACATACACAATCGGGAAAACAGCAGGGAGTAATAGCACCACAAATATGTGCAGACAGTCACCAGACCTGACTGAGCAAACAGCAGGTCACAATAGACGCCGAGAAGAGACGGTGAAGTTCCTGGACCCGGTCTCCAGCATATATATTGTCTCCAGCATATATATATAGTATATACTATTTACAACTTCCTGTTCAAAGTTTTTAAACCACCACCACACATCCCAGGCAAAACGAATAGCTGGGCAAACAGTGTTGCACACCCCGACCGTCAGCGACCCTTCACTGGTCGGCTGCCGGCCTGCCCAAGGGTCGGCACCTACCGGTCGGGGGTCGCTGGCACTCCACAAAAAAAAAAGGGTCCAGAACCCCTAATAACCCCTCGAACACCCCCATACCCATCCCCAAAACCCCCATACACCCCCCCAACACCCACAAACCTCCCCCCAACACCC